CCTGATCACCACCTCTGACCAAGCTAACTTAGCTTGTAAAGCTAAGAGGAGTTGCTAACATTAGATAAACCTTGGTCCTGATCACCACCTCTGACTGAGCTAACTTAGCTTATAAAGCTAAGAGGAGTTGCTAACATTAGATAAACCTTGGTCCTGATCACCACCTCTGACTGAGCTAACTTAGCTTGTAAAGCTAAGAGGAGTTGCTAACATTAGATAAACCTTGGTCCTGATCACCACCTCTGCCTGAGCTAACTTAGCTTGTAAAGCTAAGAGGAGCTGCTAACATTAGATAAACCTTGGTCCTGATCACCACCTCTGCCTTGGCTAACTTAGCTTGTTAAACGTGGAGAAACCAGGTGTAGCTAATTATCTGATAGCCTTGTTGGGCTGTAGCATCACGGGAGGTTTCTATGGAGCCCTGCAGAACTTACAGGGTGAGGTAAGTGTCCGTCTCCTGGAGGATCCTGTGAGAGTCAAAGTGTTTGGTGGCGAGATGTTTGGCTCGGCTGACGATGGAGTTGATCTTGTCTGCCAGCTCCTTGGCCTCCTGCTCCAGCTGCTGATGCTCCTTCACACACAAACATAGCAGTGACAAACCTTTACTTGAAACATACCTTTGGTGGTTTATGGATTACACGTGGCACTACATAAAGTTAATATTTTAAAAGATCAGATATTTAAAGGACAGGTATTATAGTCTCCTCACCTTTAGCAGCTGTCGACTGGAGCGTAGGTCGTGACCTTTGGCAGCGTTGTTCAGCATCCACTGGATGGCTTCTATCTTCAGTTTGGCATCCTGAGGAAGGACGGACGAACAAGGAAATCATTAGGGTTTACAGAGCTGTCACCATTAACCTGAAAATCACCCAGCTCTCAATAGGTGACTGGAAAAGAGGGAAACAAAGTTCTTAACCAACACAGAGCAGTTATTTTGTTTGTGAATTTAGATCCAACGCCCTCATTTCATTTAAAACAAGAACATTTACATATATTTGTGTAATTTGATTTAAAATAGATCTACAGACAAAAAAATGAAACATTTTAAATGCAGCCCAACCTTAGACAATTGGTAACCAGTTAACGAGTTGATTCACTTATGTGTTAACAAGTAAGATAGTTCATTCAGTGCACTAACTGCTCAGTTTTTAAGATTGTGTGTGAGTCTGTGAGTCAGTTGTTTACCTGAAGCAGCTCCATCAGCTGCTCCTGCTGTCCTGCCTGTCTCAGTTTGTCTCCTCTGTCTTCCATCTTGTCCTGAAGTCTCCTCCACCGGCTGCTAAGCTGAGTCGTCTTTCTGCTGATGCTCTGACTGTTGTAGTGCTCTTCGGCAAGCATCTCCTGTCCCAGCTGAACACACAGATACACAAGCATGCAAGATGTGTAAGGAAAGTGACAGGTCAGTAAAGTAAATGTGTTTTTGCAGTTCACATTCACGATCTAGCTGTTGCCACGGGAAATATGATGATTAGATTAAACTATTAACATCTAGTTTTCCTGGAGAATCAGAGTTTACATACCTGAACCAGTTTGTCCAGCCAGACCTGATTAGCTTGCATCTCCTTCTCAGCTGCCTCGTGTCTCTTCAGCTTTGGGAGGACGTTGGTGGGGTCACGATATGACTCGTCCTCAGCCACCTTAAACTTCTCTTCCATCCACAGCAGCAGCTCGTCTGCATCCCTCTGAAACTCCTGCAACACAAAGGAAAAGCTAAAAACCGGAAAACTTTAGAGGCAGCAATTTTTATTTCACTGCGAGATACAAACATGTTGAACAGAACAAACACATCTAGATGTGTAGATCCTTCTCTGTCTGGACGAACATTGGTTTAATTTACAATTTACAAGTCAGTCGTTATGAATGATTTTCTGTGGACTGAAATATTGGAAATTCAAAGCATTTTGAATACAAACAAATACAACGAAGTTTGGGGATCACCAAATTTGTAGGGACGGCCGTGAATACTAATACCCAAAGCCTGAGCTTATATGTAAAGAGTTGACTAAATAATTCAACAGAGTATCCCAGAATACAACAGATCGTAAGATGAAGGATGGTCACATTTGATGACATAATACCTGGTATTTCTTTGAGGCCAGCAGCAGAGTCCTCCTCTGCCTGCTGCCGTCTTTCAGCCTCCTATTGGCCCTTTGGATGCTCCTGCTTCTCTCCTTGATGCTGAAACGTCAACTCAGTATTTTTAAAACAGAATTACATGACTCTCTCCATTATCATCAGTAGAAAACATGTGTTTGTTGAACTAGTGACTAGAAACCCATGTTTCTGTAGACAAATGACATTGAGATGAATAGTGCTTCAGGTATTCTGTGTTGCACTGAAGCACGGTAAACGTGCCGAATGCATGTGGGGAAATATTGGGTGTAAAGCGGGTGAGTTATATTGTGAAGAGTTTGGTCTGGACCTTGAGAATAGTGATGTGTTATTATTTAGTGCCGTATAAATAAACTGACAACTCCTATTGAACTTAGTGTCAAACACTTCTGTTCTCTTACTCTTTAGCAGCATAGTGTTGTCGGTTGATTAGCTCCAGGCTGCGCTCACTGAAATGATCAATCCGTTGGTCCAAAGCCTTCAGGAGACCTTCCATCTCCTCCTGTCGGCCCAGCAGACTGTGGACACTGTCCACCGAGTCCTGCATCAATAAACACACAGATACTTAGTATGTTACACTTTCAGGGTTGATGGACCATGAAACGGATCAAAGAGAAGCATCCTCACCCCGACGTCTTTGACCCTTAGTCGGGCTTCATGTCCGGACAACGCCGCCTCAATCCGGTCTCCCTCCTGGTTCAACCTCTGGAACTCCACCCCCTGCTCCAAGCGCTGATTCCTACTGGTCCACATCCTGTCCAGTTTTGACCAATCAGCAGTGAGATTGTCCAGGGTGTGCTGGATGTCAACACTACTCATCTTCTTCATAGAAGAGCTCTGCTGAAGAGATTTCCCCAACTTCTCCATATCCATCAGGCTGAGACAATCATGAGGAAAATATTCAGCCAGTGCAGCTCATTCACACTGTAATTCAAACTGGTGATAATTCAATGACTTTACACTAACTACTATCATTTGATAGAATAATGGACATTAGACTGTTCAGCTTCATCAAATTAAATAATAAAAGAAAGTAACAAACTAAAAAGTACTATTTCAATTTGTGTGCTCAGATCAAGTGCAGTATTACAAGGTTCTCAGTGCACAGAGCACAAATTAACATGAAATT